CCAAACCCCACAGCCCTGCCCAACCAGAAATTGGCAAACAGGTCTGTCCTATACAAAGGAATGTGTGCTTGCTTTAATTTGCATTTAAGCAGTAAACAGAGTCATCAAGGAGGAAGGGAAAATAAAAGAAGTTCAAATAGGTGGGAAAAAACAGCAGGGAACATCCTTCCACATAGACTCTTTGTCTCCTGGGTCTCAGCTGGAAATGTTTTCCAAGAGGAGTATTAAAACTATAAAAAGGAAGGACCAACACCTGGAGGGCCCCCTGTCTCTCTCCCTACCCACCTCATTCTCCACACCTCAGAAGACAAAAGGAAACAGCTATTGGACTCTGGGAGAGAGGTTCTGATGTGAAAATTTGCTCGGCAATCTGCTGGAGCATGTGGTGAGAAAGTTTGCTTTGCAACTAAGGTTTCTTAAGTAGATACTAATAAGCTTTTATCTTTATTTTTCTTGTAACCATTTCTGACTTGTATGCCTCATTACTCACTTAAAATCTCTCTCTTTGTAGTTAGTAAACTTGTTTCATTGTTTTATCTAATGCAGTGTGTTTAAGATAAAGTATCTAGGTAACTCTGAGGTAATAAACTGGAATATTATTCCCTTAAAGGAATAATGGACTTAATATATTTGTACTGCCTTGCAGAGTGCTGGGCAGTACAGGACATACATGCCTGGGAGAAAATCTGGGACTGGAGGCATGTTGGGGTCACCCGGCCGTACAACCAAGGCTGGTGAAAGCTAGGGGGGTAACTAGCAGGCTGCAGTTACTCACACGTGATATGGGTCTGGCTTGCATGCTGGAAGGCTGTTTGTGAGCAGCCCAGGTGGGAGCTTCTCCAGCAAGGCATGGTAAGGCACCAAAGGTTGCAGGACAGGGGTGACACATCTTCCCCCCCATTAGTCTGGTCTGTGCCTTGGTTTGTTGCAGAAATGGCTGTTTTGCACCTTGTCATGTGAAACTGTGCAAAGTAAATGCGTTTGACAAAGTTGGTATTCACCCACGATAGCTTATGCTCCAATACATCTGTTAGTTTATGAGGTGCCACAGGACTCTTTGTGCAAAGTAAAAGTCACATGCCATTCTAATTCAGTAGTATTGTACTCCTGCTCCGTTCGTGCTTGGCACAGGAATAAATGATGACACAGGGAGCAAGGCAGTGGAGAATTGGGCTTTATAATGGAGAGGTAGTTTCAACCTTAACTGTGCAGAGCCTGGATGCTCTTCCTACTATGCAAGGCAGTGGTAGGTCCTTCATCTATAATCTTTTAAAAAAGAGAAACGGCTGCTGTCTCACAGAGTAATGCAAACTTTAAACTGGTGCAACCATATTGCTTTAGATCAACATATTCCTTTGAAAGCCGGCGTGGGTAAAAGCAAAAAGAGCAGGCTGCCTCAGGGGAAAGCTGAAGAAAAGGGAGCGTGGTGCAGTTTAGACATGGAGGATGATGCGTGTAAGGAATGATGCAGTGTGCAGAGCTGTGGAAGCAATGGCTGAGTTTGTTTAAGGAGCGCTCAAATGCTATCCTAGGGTAAAACTCTGCAGTCAGAACATCTTCTGCTTTCTAGCTGAATAGTTGCTCATCCCTTCCAGTGTTTCCTGAACAGTCAGAATCTTTAGGCATAAAGGAATAAAACAGGCAGGCAGAAATGATAGGATTTTATTTTTCCCTATGAAAGATGCACATGCAGTCAGGATTATGCACTGGGAATTAGTCCAGTGTGACAGGGATTTGGGGGGAGGGATAGCTCAGTGGTTTGTGCATTGGCCTGCTAAACCCATGCTTGTGAGTTCAATCCTTTAGGGAATCTGGGGCAAAAATCTGTTGAATGATTTAATTAGGGATTGGTCCTGCTTTGAGCAGGGGGTTGGACTAGATGATCTCCTGAGGTCCCTTCCAACCCTGATATCCTATGTATGTTTCTGTGATAAAACATGTTACCAGTTAATGTCTGCATACTAAAGAGCCTTGTTACTTATTTCTGGCAACCATCCGCTATGGCTAGTAGTGATATCAGTATTTTAATTTAGAAAGGTACTTTTGATTTTGCTGATAGTGCAAGCAGGCTGTTATCATTTAAAAAAAAATGTATTACTGTATATTTTCACTTTGATTAAACACCTTCAGCTCAACTCTCCCCTCACATGTCCCGGGGTAAATCAGGAGAACCTTGACTGAAGTCATTGATCCTACAGCTGTGTAAAACCAGTGTAAGGAGGAGGAAAATCAGGGACTTTGCACTTGCACTCAGTTCCGAATTATGCATCAGCAAAATGGGTGTAGGGTGTGAGTGTGGGGGTTTTAGGCAGCTTATGACCAATAAATGAAGTACTGGCTTCTCGCCTGCAGGTCTTGCCTATATCTGGTGCCAGGGGGCAGCGACAGTATGGACGTGCTATGGGGTCCACGCAGAACCTCAGGGATTTGCCAGGTTCGGGTGGCTGGGCCTGAACCCTTTTCTGCAAGGAGGGTTTGATCAAACCCCACTCTTTGCATGGGGATCTCCGTGAGGGGATCCCATGGAGATTTTTCTCCCCACAAAGCTCTCTCCTGCAGGTTTTAACATGTGTGGGTCTGATCTGGTCTTAAAATCTTTGCTAAGGGTTTAATAAACAGTATCTAAATGCATTAAAAGTACTTCCACCAACCTATCTCCACCACAGAATGGAACAAAGGGGCAGGGTGTAGGTTGGGTGGGTAGTTGTAATTGGGGTGGGGCGGATGTGTGCAATGACGGTTATGTCAAGTTGGGGTTGGCTGGCTTCCTGAAATGTTCATTTCCAGATACTCCTCAAAACATAAAACATCCCTACCCCTCCACACACACAAGTGTAGTAGTTTTGTAAAGCATGTAAATATTATCTGATTGGATTCCAGTGACAAACCTTTTCAATCTAAAATTATCATTATTTACAACTAGAGGCAATAACTGAAGCCAGGGCTCCACTGTGCTAGGCATTGTACATACACATTATAACAGATATAAGAACATAAGAATGGCCATACTGAGTCAGACCAGTGGTCCAACTAACCCAGTATCCTGTCTTCCAAGATTTCAGAGTTGCAGCCGTGTTAGTCTGTATCCGCAAAAAGAACAGGAGTACTTGTGGTACCTTAGAGACTAACAAATTTATTAGAGCATAAGCTTTCGTGGGCTACTGCCCACTTCTTCGGATGCATATGGTGTCTTCCAAGAGTAGCCAGTGCTAGATGCTTCACAGAGAATGAACAGACCAGGGCAATTATCAAGTGATCTGTTCCTCTGTGGTTCAGTCCCAGCTACTGGCAGTTGTAGATTTAAGGACACCCGGATCATGGGGTTGGACCCCTGACCATCTTGACTTATAGCCATCGATGGGCCTATCCTCTCTCTAATTCTTTATTGAACCCAGTTATACTTTTGGCCTTCACAAGATCCCATGACAACGAGTCCCACAGGTTGACTGTGCATTGTGTGAAGAAGTATTGCTTTGTTTGTTCCAAACATGCTGTCTATTAATTTCATCGGGTGATGCCTAATTCTTATCATATGTAAAGGGATAAGTAACACATCCCTATTCACTTTCCTCACACCATTCATGATTTTATGGACCCCTATCATATGTTCCCTTAGCTGTGTCTTTTCTAAGGCTAGGTCTACACTACCCGCCTGAATCGGCGGGTAGAAATCGACCTCTCGGGGATCGATTTATCGCATCCCGTCGGGACGCGACAATCGATCCCCGAATCGACGCTCTTACTCCACCAGCGGAGGTGGGAGTAAGCGCCGTCGACAGAAAGCGCAGAAGTCGATTTTGCCGCCGTTCCTACAGCGGGGTAAGTCGGCTGCGATACGTCGAATTCAGCTACGCTATTCACGTAGCTGAATTTGCGTATCTTAAATCGACTCCCCCCTGTAGTGTAGATGTACCCTAAGTTGAACAGTCGTACAATACCTGCCCCAAAGAATTCATAATGTAAATAGACCAGGCAAAGAGTAGGAGAAGAAACACAGACACACACACAAGTGAAATGACTCCAAGACACACAGCAGGTTGTGAACAGAACCCAGATATCCTGAATTACATGGCAGGATGCTGTTAATTGGACTATGGTGCCTGTTACTCTTGGCTAATGAAGATTTTTGTTGGGGAATATACCTCTATATTTATATATGAAGGCTGTATGCAGATATATGCACATTTTTCATAGAGTCCTGCAGTGCACTTAACTCTCATTCAAGCAAAATTTCCATTGCTGTTCTCTCATGTTCCTTGGCCAGGTACTGTCCTGATAGGTGTAACCATAAGCGCTGACTCCGTGGGTGCTCTGGGGCTCAAGCACCTACTGAAAAAAATAAGGGGTGCTCAGCACCGCCAAGCCACCAGTCGGGGGCAGGAGCACATACATGGGAACTGGAAGGTGGGAGAGCATCCACTGACAAAAATGAAAGTCAGAGCCTGTGTGTGTAGCCCAAGATTTGGCCCATTGATAGCAAATAACGACAATGCAAGTGGGCCTAGACCTGTACGTATAGAGTTGCCTTGTTAATAATAATCATAATGTGAATAGAAGCATGTTAACCGGGGGAGGTGGGGGGGGGGTGGATAATGTACAAACATTTCTTTCGTGTTTTCACTTGTGTTAACTTTTCAATGCATCCTGTTCGATCGTGTTGCATTGCATCATGGACTCTTCTTTTCTCGAAGCAAGCTTTCTTGTTACAGCTCTTCATATTAAACACATATTGGGTTTAATCCTCCTCTCACGTTGGTGTAAATCAGGACTAATTCCCTTGAAGTCAATGGAATTAAACTTGTATAAAGCTTATGTGAATGAGAGAAGAATCAGGGCCATAATATTTAACAGTCCAATCCACCTGCTCTCCTTAATATCATAGCTGCATATTTGCTCTCTGAACTAGCGTAAATATCCATTGTGTGTTCTAACTATTTTTCTCGTATTGAATGGAGTAGTCATCTGTATAACAGCATTTCTTTTTAAAATCCTCTCTCTAGATACTACCAGATACGAGCAGGGTTGAAACTTCCATCCAGGATTCCCCATAGACTGGCTGCAACAATCGTAGAGCAAACAGGTGAGAAATTCATAGGAAAGTGACCTGATGAGAGCTGGATTCATTTGTTCAGATTGGGGAAAACAGAGTAAGGCTTGGTCTACACTGGAGTGGGGGTGCGGGGTCGATGTAAGATACGCAACTTTAGCTACGGGAATACCGTAGCTGAAGTCGGCATATATTATTCCGACTTACCTCCCGTCCTCATGGCGCGGGATCGACGGCCGCGGCTCCCCCGTCGATTCTGCTACCGCCGCCCGCTCCAGTGGAGTTCCGGAGTCGACGGGGAGCGCGTTTGGGGATCGCTATATCGCATCTTAACGAGACGAAATAGATCGCTACCTGCCTATACGGCGGGTAGTCTGGACGTACCCTAAGTGAGAGATCATCCAAGTACAAATCTGGGTTTAGATCCAGATCTGAACTTCTCCTGAAGCTCAGGGGCATTTAGAGACCGTGTTTTGGTTGGGCCTGTTAAAGAGATGGGCTCCAGTTCTCAGGTTTTAATCTGATCCCAAACCTCATGGTGTGTTTGTGTGAGATGCAGAGCCAGATTCAATAGGGAACCATTTCTAGAGGAAGTGAAGATGTGAATAAAACAATCCTCTGGGCTGCTGCACATAGGAATGAGCAGGTTGTGCTCAAAGACATGAAATGTAAAGTAATGACTGAAAGGAAGTTCAGGTAAACAACCAGAAATTCAGATGTTTCCCTGAATTTCATCTGGGCTTGCTGAATCTCAAAAGGCTGCAAAGTTGGGCTAGGAATGGCGGAATAACAATGAAATCACCTATGTGAAAGCTTCTCTATGGTTTGCTGGATATGGGAATTCTCCATTTCCTGCCTGGAACTATTGGGTAGTGTTCAGCACATGGCCACGTTGCATTACAGCGGTGATGGCATTTCAGCAGCTGCTAATGGGATGGCTATTGTTTACATAAAATATGACCAAATACACTATGAGGTTTTGGCTGGAGGAAGCTGACCTGGACCTGAGTGCAGAGTGCCAAGCAGCAGGACCTGTACTGCAAGAAGGTTAGTACGGTTCCTCTGCAAGGCATCCTGCAAGGACTCAGGAGAGCCCCTCCCAAAGGGTGGCACTGGCTGGGGAGGGAGCATAGTTTGGGACATGAGGCGTTGATGTCAATAACCCCGCTGCTTCCCCCCCCCCGCAACCCATACAGAGCTCTTGTGGAATTAAAGCTGCCCCTTCCCTGGTGGAACCTCGGGAGGGAA